TTTCCACTTCTCTACTGTTCTCCACTTGTGGCACCCATTTTGGAACTAAGCCGAGCTTAAAAGGGTCCTGAATCAGTCTGCCAAGTACGGTAATCATCGAATGGCCTAGTTTATTGGCTGAAGAAGTGATCGCTGAATTTTTCTGAATTTGTCAAGAACTATCGAAGTTAGATTTGTCGCTCGCTTCGAACGCTCGCTCTCTTACTTTAACGAAGGGGAGAAAACTTACGTCAGCGCACGTCATCAAATGCAATTGCTCCCACTTCGTGTGATTCCAGTGCGCAGTAGTACTGCTGTTGTTCAATTATAGCCAGCATTCCTTTGGCAAGAAGCGCACCAAGTCCAAATGCAGCTATTGGCTTTAACAGTTTGCTATATGATGCCATACAGCAGCAGCCGGCAGTTCTAAAGAGTGAGTGCGGTCCACTTCGTGCGGTCCACAGCTTTGAGCTCAGCTTCTAACCCTTTCTATTGCTGCACGAAAACTGCAAGATTCGGCTGAGGTGTTCACAGCAACATCAGCTTTCTGCTCACGTGTTTTTTCATCAAACACGATGTGTGGTTCAGAGCCCTTTAACCTCTTTACTATTTTACTATGTGCATCCACGTGCATGGGCATGACTTTCTAAGCTAATTAGACAACAGCAAACTGCTCAGCATCACTGAAGAATTGTGCCTTTGTCATCCGGGGTGTCCTTTAGTAGCAGTAGTCAACATTAGTGGCTAATGTAGAAACAAAGCGGCCATGGGCATGCAGATCGCCCAGCGTGCGATTGCTTAGGCCTGGCTTCTTGGTTTTAAAATTAATATTTTGTTTGCATGAATAGTGTTACAAGAAGCTATGCTATTGGTTTTTAGGAACAGTTTAAAAGCTTTTTGAAGAACTCAAAGGACTGCTCATTTCTATTTTTCTTCCTATTTTCACTCTTCTTTCTTCCCCTTTCTTTGTGTAACTTGCTTCCTCTTTTTTAAATTTTTACACATGGTTTTGTGTTGTGCCAAGCGGCGACGACAGCATACGATCACAGCTATGGCAGCCCGGCCCCCCAAAAAAACACGAAATGCACAGCACAGACCACTGAGGTTTGCTTTAACCTCCTTGGTACAGACACAGCGAAAGCTACTAGAGTACCCTGTTTAGAGCTTACGGTTTACACTCTTGGGCAACTACTATAAATACCCTCGCATGGCACCCACTATACCATAAATCACCATATATTTTAACAACAAATCAGTTCTCAGTTGAGGATTTCATGTCCAGGATTTGTGGTAACGCTGGTGGGCATCGTGAACGGGCATGTGCCACTAAAACTGGGCAAATCTCACTGCTCACTCTGGTCCACAAAAAATGAGGGCAACAGTTAGCCCAACAAACGGGCATGTGACAAGGAAATCTGTGCAGCCTATCAGAAAAGTATCATCAACATAAATGCATATGTGCCACAGAATTTGGGTAAATCTCACGACACACAACTTCCAATAAGAAGGAAGAAGGCAACTGTCCAACAAATGGCGTGCGCGTTACCATAGTCATGCCACTGTCAGATGATTCACTGTCATTATCTAAGGTGGTGTATACAGCCACCTCAAAGCTTAACAAAGAGTGTTTGATAAAGAGCAGTGATAGAACCTATCTGAAAGGCGCCCAAACATAGAAATGCGATAGCCTAATGAAAGGAACTCCACCAGCTTCGCTGTTTCACCTCTGTCCGCGAAGCAGGGCTGGGTATTTCTTGTTATTATTATTTGATTTTTTACTTTTTTTGTAGTAGGCAAGCATTCACTATGTCATTATTTTTCATTCGGAGAAGCGTGATACCCGCCGCACATTTGTAAGGCATTATGTGCACATTGTTGATGCTGTGGTTGATGACAATGAAGTATTAGGGCCGAGCCTTCTGTAATACTAGGTTGGAAGTATTCAACGACCCACTCGTTATGCGATGCGCATGGTATGACGACTCGTTGTTATTTGACTTCTAAAACGCTCTATTACATATGTTAAAGGGACACTAAAAAGAAACAGTGACTTGGTTTAGTTTGATAAACTACTCTCTCAGAACTGGAATGCCGTAAGTTGCACTGCCATAAGTGTATTAAAAGCGGAGAAAATCAAGGTTGAAGTTTCTTTTTTAAGTTTGGTGCTGAAATATCCGCACGTGACGTAGAAAATTTCAAAATGTATTTTTCGTATTTTCTCGATATTTGCTAGATTAAATTTCCTGAAACTTCGTATGCTAGGTCTATGGCACCCACAGGTGACCATGTATTTCAATTTTATCTAATGAAGCTACATAGGACCCAGTAGACGCCTTCAAAATTTATGACGTCACTGTGTTTGTTGCGGGAATCTTAAAGAGCGTCTCCACCCCCATGTTCTTTTCGCGCGTTTTCTGGCTTACTGAGCGTCGTGTCGCAGTAAGAGTGTTGTTCTGGGGATTGTAAAATTGTACTTTACTAATACGTGAAAATTCGTTTTCCTCTTTAGTGTCCCTTTTATGCGACTTTTTCCCCAGGGTGAAGCCTGCCTATAGGGTCTGCTTGTTTTTTTGTTTTTTTTTCTTATTTTGCGCGATAACAATTACAGACACTGGTGACGATGGCTAACAACCACTGTGCCGAAAATGCTGTTGTGATCGTATAACAGCTTTTACTGTCAAAAATAAAGATAATAATAATGTTCGCCTATGTAGAACAGTGGCTGTGCCGAAAATGCTGTTGTGATCGTATAACAGCTTTTACTGTCAAAAATAAAGATAATAATAATGTTCGCCTATGTAGAACAGTGGCTACAGTTACCCTACTTCGATGCTCGGTGCTGACTCGCAAGTAGCGGGTTCGACGCAGGTCGCAGCGGTCGCATTTTGATGGAGCCAAAATGGTTGAGGCTCCTGTACTGTGTGATGTCAGTGCACATAAAGCACACCAGATAGTCAGAATTTCCAGAGCCCTCTATTACAGCGTATCTGATAATCATCTCATGGTTTTGGGACGTAAAACCTTAACTGATAATAATAATACAGTTGACTCTCATTAATTCAAACTTGAAGGCACTTCCGAGTTTTGTTTGAGTAATCAATAAGTTTGAATTATTAAAAGTTCTCAGATAGGTGACTCTCGGCGAGGTGACACCACACATTATGATTAGTCATTGATTTTATCACATTAAAAAAATTTTAGGTGTTTTTAATACCTAACTGCACGCAATGAACAGAAAGCAGAGGAGTAAGGTCGACTAGTTTATTGGCCATTTACTGATCATATCTTTTATTGGCCATTTACTGATCATATCTTTTAAAGAAATCATGAATTGCCAACTGCCTCTTTGCTATAGGTATGTGCCTTCAGCACAAAGCTCTCTAAACCAGTTGAGAAGCATCATGGTTTACCATGCGTGTGCTTTGTTTACTAGCAAAGCCTTTTTCTTTGAAGGCCGGAGGTGCGTATTTTTCATTTTTAGATTAATAAGCATGCAACTGTTTAATTAGTAGTGGGAAAGCAGCAGATATTTTCTAGTTATGAAACTGTGAAAAGTATGAATTAACTGAATGATGGAGTTTCAATTAAGAGATCTTTAAATACACCGAAAGTATAGAGGCCAACAAAAATTTAATTTTGTTTAAATTAGTATTTGAAAGTATGAATTGTCAGAGTTTGAATTGTCGCAAGTCTACTGTAGTAATAATAATATAATGTTCACCGCAAGGGTGAAGAAATTAATTTGATAACAACACATCGGATTGTTATTAAAGATAAGGCTAGCAGCGAACTCAGCATCTGACATAGCATATCTCAAACGCTAGCATAAGGAAACCCGACTGCTGCAGGCAACGAAGCGACCTTCATGCTGTCGATCGCCTCGACTCAAAGTGAGCAGCGAGAACACAGCACACACAAATGTACGAGCAGGGTTCTAATCCCTGTCAAAATAGGGCGCACGGCTGCTCCTAACAATTCAAAGTACGCAGTTTCTGCCGTTGGGATGCGTCCCCTTTCCGTAACACTTCCAACACAATAGGCTTTTTGCATGACAGAAGCGGGGCACTACATTTACTCTTTGCTTGAGCCGCAATCATTGGTTGCCATTGTATGCTTTCACTCGCACATAGAACATACGATGTAAGGGGTGATGTTATCGCCTTTAAGCTTCATATGGAACCCCCCGGCGATGGCAGAAATGCGCCTAAGCGCTCATAATTTTACTACTGCCACGAATGAGTTTGTATGTGGCACACTTTTTGAAAGGCCGCTACAAATACAGGGTCGTCGGCAGAAATTTTTTTTCCAAAGGGGGGGGAAGATGCCTTCTTGAAATAGTCAATTTTCGCTCTGTATGTCATGACAAAAATAAATTTCTGGGTGGGGAGAAGACATGAGTTTGATGTGTCACCCCCTGGCCATGCTGCTGCATAATTATGTTCAACAGTTTAAGTTTAATAAAAAAGATTTTTACTAAACATAATCAACTCTGTATTATGCTTATATGCAGTTCAGTTCCACAACTTAATTTATGCAAGTTCGCAATGCTATGTGCCGGATAGATTTTACAAGCATGGAACTTAATGGCACTGCAACTCTTGATGTAAACATCTGTCTTTCATTTTTGAGATTTGTGTTTTGCATATTTAAGTTGCAAAATCTTGAAAGAGACTGTGGTGATGTTTGTAGTAGCTTTGCACGTTTCATTTTGCAGGAGAAAAGCCGAAAGGGCCTTCTGGATCGTGTTTTGAGTGAGGACGAGTTGGTGGTGCGCTCATTATTTTCCAAGGGATCTGATCTAGCTGCTTTCCATGGACTCTGGGTAAAGATGGCTACTGGAGACTGGGGCACTTTGGCAGGCCCCTTTGGCCAAGGTGGCAAAGTTCGTGTGCGAATTTATGGTAAGTGCATTGACTGCCTTTTTAAGTGATGCTATGTGGCTATGTGCTCATGTTAGAGTAGGGGACTGGGAGTGAGATATATATATACAAAGATACTCAAGAAAGTAGTAAAGAAGACGATTATATTTTTGTAGTTTTATTTATTTTTAATACTTGTTTTTAATCTTATGTATATACACAAATTCATATTTTATATTTTGATGACCTTTAAAACCATAAGGCAAAAGCTGCAGGGCAGTACTGATTTGTGTGGTTAGACCAGCTATCATAGCAGAGGCCTCATGACGGGTTCTATGAATTTCAGGTGAACCGTCTACAGAGCTGCGTACCCTACTACCGCGAGAGCGTGGTAAGCGCCCACCACAGCCTGCAGACCAAAAGCCCATCGAGGTCACTCTGCAATTTAGGAAGTATCTGTTTGATACCAGCAGCAAGATGGTGCAGCCCAAACTACCACCTGGACTTTACCAGCCGAAATGACAACTAAACTGCCTTTTTATGTAAATAAATCTGCCATTAAATGACAGTCAGTGTGTACATACATCACTTGGTGATAGGCGCTTTTTTTTTTCCACAGGGAAACACAGCTGCAGAAGTATACAAATGGTTGACTGGGAGCTTCACAACTCACTTCTGTTAAAGCACAACTGTGTCCTTGAACACTCATTTGGCAGCCCATCAGGCATCACAGGACATTCACAACTTAGATCTTAGAAGGAGATGTCTGTCAAGTCTTTCCATGTAGTGGCATGCAGGGGATGCCCACAGAGGAGACGGAAAGCTTGAGGTAAAACTGACGACACTGCCTTAGAAACAGTTGAAACAGCGCACAAAAATGTTCTGCACAAGCTGATTCTCAGTAAAGAGCTTTTGTGTCCATTTTTTCTGCCATCAGCAGCGTACTCTTCTTCCTTGGCATTGTCAGTCGGACGCTGGTAGCAACCGTGCAGGCATGACGAGGCGGCTAAGGCAATGGTGAGCCAAGCCAGAGGCAAGCAGGACAGAAATGGCAATCCACCCATTGTAGCGCATGATGATAAGCATCACCAAGAAGCCAAGAGTCAACTGCAGTGCATGAAGCAGAGTCTGTAGCAGACGGAATTTGAGTTTTCCCCAACGCTCTGCATCCATATGGCCGTACAGGAGGTTCACCTGCAGACACAAAGAGAATACATAAGCACTCATTAGCCATATTTTGCATAACATTGTTGAACCAAATTTCATTTACCCAACAAATAATAGAGTGATGAAACCCTTTTTCAATGGACACTGAGAAGTTAGCATATGTAGGGTGCTAGGTTCAAATGATATGAATTGCATATGCAATTACAATGAAAAAATTTGTAAACAGGGGTTATGTCAAACCACAACCCCTGTTTACGAATTTTTTTTAACGCAAACTTCCATGTCCCCTTTCTTGCTGTTTTTCGTATGAAAATGCATTCGCATACACGACACTGACACGAGTTATTTCAAGATGATGTCTGGTTGAATCCAAAATGTGCAAAGTTCTGACAGGGTTATAAGACATGCTTAAAACTTATTTAACGAAACTCGATTTAGCGAATTCCCCAATCTAAAAGAAATTTCCATTCTTCGACAAGTACCCATAGCGTTCAATGCCTTCATCAACTAAAATTAATGAGTCTTTTGTAGCACTAAACAGAACTTTACTAAATTTTTCTAGAAATAAATGAGCGATTTGATTCCAGAATATAGTGATTTATTTGTAACTCTCAACGCATCGGCTTTTTGCTAGTCACCGAATGAGTTTTATTTGAACAAGACTACACATTTTAGTCTGAAACGATTTTATATATCAAATTGCGCTGGCCTGCAGTGGTTTGTTGACCCTGAAAATACTCCCACAAGAACATGGTGGTTTCTTTTGGTATTTATTGGTTTATGCGACAGATGGCGCTGGTTGTGTTTGAAACTTTTTTATTATTGTTATACTATTTATCATTAACCAGGGTGCCCGCCCGCTACCAAGGAAATAGCCTCACTATCATCATCATCATCATCAACTTTCTTGGTCTGCCTGCTCTACCTGCCTTTGAATATCGGCAGTTTGTCGTAGCTTCACCTCACCTTTATCACGTGAACATGACGGGATTTCATGATCGAGCTGCCCTCGCGGCCTTTTCACACGTTCAGGTGCTCATTAGTAGCAGATAAAATGCTTAGTAGCGTTCGGGTGACATTAAGTTATATATTAACAACTCGAAGGACCGAAAAAGTCCCTGCTTGATTTTACGAATTTCCCAATTTATATATTTTAAGAGTTAATAATTCTTATCCTGAGGAGAGAGGAGAGGCGAGCAAAAGACGTTATGGTAATCAAAATGGTCGCTGACGCCGAATAAAAAAAGCAAGACATTTCTTCAGCCAGCACCTCCGATACGCTTGGTGGACTCTCTCCCCCTCTACCAATGGTGGTGGTGGTGGTGATTAGAGGAAAGAAAAGACGCCTAATTTCTGCAGCCCGTTAGGGAGCACGGCGCTGCGTCTTGTGGGGGGGTGGGAAGAGGGGAGGAAAAAGAGGGAAGATAATGTCCGTCTCTATTGCTGCAGCGCCTACATTCTTTCCCCTCTCCCACACTCGTCTCCATTCTTTTGCACACGCCGCGTCCCCGATACGGGCGTAAGCCGCTCAGGGTGCCCCAACGGGAACGAATGTACAAGTAAACAGCTCCCACAGGGGACAAGGGCACAATTTCACCAAAAAGGCGACACATTTTCTTATAGCGACAGGAAGGTACTGAACAATTACATGACCAGTCGAAACCTGTTTGTACTATCTGAGGCGTCTTTTTGCCACTTAACAACAATCGTACGTCATCTGGCTTGCATGAATTTGCTTCTTGAGAACGACGCTTGCTGCTTTCTATCAAACTACGGCAGTTGGCAATCTGGAAGCGCCGTGCGCACGCAAAGTTATATATCATTACTTACTTTGTAGAAATGCCTTCTAAACGGGGGCACTGCACTAAACATTCGCTGACCAAACATGATGTCACGCGCGCACACTATGAAAAATACACGTACGGTGACCGCTAACACTTGCTGTCATAACACTTGCATTATGAATAACGCAGACGGAAGTTAGCCAACGCATTGTGTTGCCTCTCGCCTCAGCAAGTGCCTGATGTTTTGAGATAACACTGTTTACACTAGGGGGCGGCGCTAGGGGTGACCACTGGTAAAGTGTTCTAGAGATACCCCTGGAAGGCTGTAGCCCCCCCCCCCCCCGCTCTTGTTGCCTCCCCTAGAGGGAACATAATCACAACACAACGGCTAAGTTCGATCCTTGCCTCCCTGCTTCCGTGAAGGAACTCAATTATCGTACCCCCCTCCCGGTAAAATAATCCACCCCTGGCGCACACGAAGCCACTAGTGTTTCGGTTTGCCCAGCCTTTTTAACAGCCACAGATAGATAATCTGCAACCCGCGGCGCGCGGACGGGCCGTAAAAGGCAGGGACCCGCCGCCGGGGTCTTCAGGATGTATGGTATATGATTGCTGTTCCGCAGGTCGGGAGATCGAATCCCGGCCGCGGCGGCCGCCGCATTTCGATGGCCCATGCGTTTAGAATTATATTTGAAGACCCGCAGGTGGACAAAATTTCCAAGAGTCCTCCGCTACGGCGTTTCTCATGATCAAATCATGGCTTTCATATGCTACGTGCCTTCATTCAAATATCTCTTCCAAGTCGCGGGAAGTTCCGCTTTGATAAAACAAAGCAGCTGCTCTGTTTCTGCGCGCCCGGCGCGCCCTGTTTCGATTCCGGTACCTCGAACCGATTATGAATATCTCAAATTAACTTGCGATTTTTCGGATTCATAAAACACGGATATCCCATAAGTTTTGACGGCCCACAACTTTATCACGTACGTAAACAATTGCCCTCAATTTGACAATAATCAATAAGTTAGCCAGTTATTTATCAGTATTTTAAATGCAACTTTAGAAGCTGCAAAGTGATAAATTTCTACTTCGACGTAAAAATTGTGTGCGGTGACGATCGATAGACGCTTTACTGAAGTAGAATATAAAAAAATCGTATACTGTCTGAAACACATGCTTATACACACAGTATATACAAGATGTTTTTTTTTTTACCAGTAAACAGATTTTTAATAAGAACGCTATGACAGTCAGACACTTGCCGTCTTCGCGCACGCATCTCACGTCGAGGCGGAAGTATACTGTGCCGCACCCTAAGTTACATTAAAATAACTAGATAACAAAAACTAGTTATACTTCTCATTTATTCACTCGAAGTCAGTTGTTAACATGGATAAGTTGTAGGACGAGACAATTTATCGTATATTTATTTAATCCGAAAAGACACACGCACTTCGAGATATTAGTAATCAAACTTGAACGCCGCGATCCAGGTGATATCGAAACTGAGCGCGCAGAAAATGCCGCCACTGTGTCACGTCAAACCGCCGACCCTTGCCCCGCCGCTGTGGTCTATATAGTGGCTAAGGTACTCGGCTGCTGACCCGTAGGTCGCGGGATCGAATCCCGGCTGCGGCTGCTGCATTTCCGATGGAGGCTGGAATGTTGTAGGCCCGTGTACTCAGAGTTGGGTGCACGTTAAAGAACCCCGGGTGGTCAAAATTTCCGGAGCCCTCCACTACGGCGTCTCTCATAATCATATGGTGGTTTTGGGACGTTAAACCCCACCCATCAGACCACCGACCGGAACTGCAAGCGCGTCCCAGCAACATCTGGTCAGGAACAACGGCATGTCGTCTGAAGTGTCGTCGCGTCCTGCAACTTTTCAATACAAACTGCCCTCAAGTTTACCATTCAAACGATAACTAACTCGTTTTTTTTTTCAAGTAATTATTTCAACGCAACCGCTTCGACGTATAGAGTTGGTTCGCAAAGATGGTAAGTGCCGGACTGATATAACAATTTTCCTAGAGCCTCTATAGTCTAAGAAAAGCACCCTGTAAACAGACGTGCCGCTAACACACCCCGCGTCCTTCCTAATACGAAAAGCGTCCGGCAGCACTTCTCCCAAGAATCACTCTAATCAAGTCGCCGTTCATGTGCAAGCAGCGCAATGGTCAGGTAAAATGCACATTACCTGCATTACGTTTTTTTCTGTTTTTTTTTTCAATGTCAATATGTGTTCCCGAACACGGCCGTCCCTACATCTCAGAGTCTGACTTATGCACTACGTATAGGTCTTTCCACAAGGTGAAATAGCATACACGACGGCAATAGCGCATCTTTACGCATATTTATGCTTCTTTTGGCATCCATGCCGATGTCTTTTGCTTGACATACGCGTACGAACAGGTAGGCCAGGTTTCGCGGGGCGCAGAGCACGACTGGTACACTGTATTTTCTGGCAACCTTTTTTTACAGCGAAAGCTGTTATGCGATCAAAACTCGGGTCACGCGCGGCACCATAGTTGCCCGCCGCCGCCGGTGTCCGTAGCCACTATCGCGAAATAAGTAATAAAACCTAGTACCATGGACACAGTGGGGCTCGAGCACGGGTCCGCTGCATGCCAGCCCAGTATTCTACCACTGAGTCATGCCAGTGCTTTGGACTTGTTCGCAGACTTGAAAGGTTTGATGTCGCGAAAGAAATTGCATTATAGAGCGTTTTAAAACAGCGAAAGAACAAGTAGTCGTCGAACAATGTGAATAGCGTAATGAGTGGGTCGTCCAATGCTCAAGCCCATTACAAAAGCTTGTTTTTTTTTTTTCAGCTATTAACTGTGGCCCAACCCACTTGAGGCATAATTCCTCATCGTCGTCAGCCACTGCATGAACAATTGGCACAAAATTTTCGAAATAGTTTGGGATACCACACTTCTAAGAAGAATGACGAAAAGTAGCATAGCGAATGCTAGTATACTGTATACCTAGAAATTATTATTATTAATGGCTTAGTGGGTACCTAGCAAGTGTCCTTGCAGCGATTACCGAATGAGTGTTCAAAAAAGGCTCTGAAGGGCCGCTTTTTCGGGCTTTCGCTGTGACTGCAGGTGCTGCGCCTTCCGCGCAGGCCTGGCTTTTTTTTTTTTTTTCAGGTCGTGGGACAACTTATGAATGTACGGAACCATTTCAGTTCACCACCTAGCTCTTTGGGCGTCGCTGGTCCTTCGCGGCTCGGTGCCCAGC